GAGCAGGTCCCGCAGATGTGCAAACGGTGTCGAATCAGCATGAATGTTCAAACGTGATGCTGCACATACTTCGATGAAGCCTGAATTGCTCGTTTCGAATATGAGTTCCACGAGCATCGCGTACGCTAGGAGGATTGAGAGAGATAAGCAGCTTAGAGATGGAGATCAGACGGCCAAATTGCGAACGTGAATCGCTCGAAAAGCAAAAGCAAAGCAAAGTAAAGAAAATCCAGTAGGTATAGTTTCCTGTCCCATAAAGAAATCGTGTAAATCATCCAATAATAATAATAATAATGATAATAATAATAATAATAATAATAATAATAATGTGCCAGCTGTACGCTGTAACGGCGCTTCGTTGCCGCGCGACCACTACCAGCCGCGCGTGGGCTGAGTGTACCGCGAGGATGCCCACTCCTACATTTAAATCATCTACGTGCGTCTTCATTTGAGATCTGGTGAGGGTCCATCTAGTTCTGTGGTCTCATCCAGTATCACAAGTTCGATCACATGTTTGAGTTCTATGCGCAAGCATGGATGCAGAGATTGCTCATGAAGTACTAAAATCACTAATCGACACAGAAACTGGTAATACTGATCGGGTTGTAAGTAGGATGCTACCTCTCATTGTATACGGTTTCATTAGCAAGTTTCCCTCTGCCGGAATGCCGCGTACCACAGTTAGCGAGAGTTCTAAACAGAAGCGAATGAAACTATGAATTTCCACTTGGTTAAGCGCGAGCTCGTCGACGAGAAAGAACCAACTTCATGAGATTGTGTAAGTCAGAGCTAGAAGATGATCATCAAAGCAAGAACAGAAGGAAATAACAAATGGGGAAGGACTAGTGGCATATTCCCTTCCATCCATTCCACTTAATGCCAGATCATCAATAAATCGCGTAATGGTTGAGTTGTAGTAAGCAGGCAGAATACTGCTAGATTGCTCAAGTTTGCAGAACGATTAACGTTCGTAGGCAAAGCCTTTGTCTTAAAAACTGACTTTAAAACACCGAGAGTTTGACAATGGGGTGAAGAGAATCCGTTTGAAGGAATAAGGAGCAGGTTTTTACTCCAACTCTCAAAACGAACGGCATGGAGACTGAGTTTGTCGGGACTATAACGAACGAGGAATTTAGCATGAATGGATCTGAACATTCAGAAAGCACTAGCCAGCATGGTTGAGAGGATGCCTTATGTACATTATATTAAGGTTCGGCACTGTTACAATAGGTAATACTTGTTAGAAAACAATGTATAAAATAGAGAAGCCGACATGTATGGTTTAAATAGTGTTAGTGGTGCTCCCTCACTAGTCGCTGCTACCGCCTCCGATGCCAGTTTCACTATGATCGATGGCTCTGTAACCGGTGAATTCCGGTTTTGTCATACCCATCAAATCTTGCAGCGGAGGTACAATCTGCCTACGTAACTGTGCACTTCGAGATTTTCAATGGGTTGAAAACAAACCAGTAATCTACAAGCATCCCCGTTTTGAAGCTGGATTTAGTCATATGAAAGTCCGTTAAAAACATGTTCTCTATCACTCAAATGGATAATTTGGTTCACCACGAGTCGTAAATGTGAGCTACCAGTCCGGGAAAGTAAAAGACGATCAGTTCGCCCTATTGGGACTCGTCAGTGGTGCGCATTCGTTCGGTCTCCTGCTGGTGATCGAATCCATGATCGCTAGTGGCTTACACAACTAGCCCGCAGCTTATGCCACTGGGCCATGGGGGACAATAGATGACCATCACGGATCGAAATCAAACTGCGGTGTGGCCCGACCCATTATAAAGAGGACCGAATTTCCAGTAGAAATCAAAAGACTGCAGAGAAACAAGTGCGCAATTATCAGAAGCCACATACGTTGAAAGCCAGGTGAATGCCGAGAATCAATCATAACAAGATGAATCTAGCCCGTCACCAAATAGAGCTTGAATAAATAACGATAGACTTAAAGAGTATAGGAAAGAGATATCACGAGCATTTAACAGAGGAAACACGTTTCAGTTTTTTGACTATATACCATGCAAAACATCCCGGTGTTGAGAACGACCGTAATAAATGAATAAAACTAAGTAATTTATTATGAGTACACACTCCAAGAGCCTAATAATTTACGCTAACTTAAAGCAGGACTAAAAATGCAAATTTCTCTGATAAATTTTAAGAAGGGATTACAGCATGATGTTGTAAATAATCAACAAAATTGACTGAAAGTCAAAAAACAAGACTACCTTTACGATGGTAAAGGGTCTTGCGCATCGGCATCATTATACACGTAAGCTAGAGGTGGAAAACACCTCAGCTATTGTGCAGTAATACGTGAGAAAAGAAGCAAAACTTGCAACAGAGGCACGATAGCTGGGCCTTTAGTAATGTATGGACATCGTTCCGAAGAGCTACCAGCAGACCATTGTGCTATAAAAAATATTATATTATGCCTAGAAAATGAGATCGTAATCGGAAGGGGAGGCTAAGCGAGAGAGGGACAAAGTAACTCACAACACAAATACCGCTGAGGTCGGTTCCTAGCCATGGCAAAAAGTGTAGCCAGTCAAAGGTATTCATTGTCTTTCGGACCCCATCTAAGGAGCCTACTGTCTCCAACCGAGACCAACTTAGAAATGAGGACTCTCATTTTGTTTGACCAGGCAACTGCTCGGCCAGCCCTCCACTTCTTCCATCTACACCCCCGGCGCGCAAAAAACGCACATCGCGAGGGCCGGTGGTATAACATGCGCAACATGTGATCCAGCCACCGGAGCCTGTTGCGTGAAATAACAGTGCTGAGCGGTTTGCTGCCACTTCTCGCACAACAAACAAGGCCTCGAACACGCTCATTGCTAACGCGGTGTTCCCACCAGGTGAGCCAAACTGCAAAAACACCAGTGGTTGAACGTAACTAGCCTCGTTGTCTGATGGACCAGGTTTCACAACCGTACAGTAGGGCCGAACGTACCGCTGCATTGTAGACTCTACACTTCAGGGAGTGATATCGCGCCCGCGCCATGGGTAGTGAAGGTTAACAAAAGCGCCTCCTTTTTGCTATAGGGTTTGTGCTCTCGTCTTCAATTCCAACGGGCGCTGATACAACTGCCTACGTTTTTAAATGTTTGAAGGACTTCTAGCTGGTCCTAATCAAGAGTCAGCGCAGGAGGCGGTCTCTGCCAATTGTGGAGGTAAGCCTCGCATTTTTGAAACGGCTGACAGCCGGTGCAGCTTGTCATGTCTGGGAACGGTCACAGATGTGGGCAATGTCGTCAGCATAGTCTGTCACCAAGAAGCAGCTCCACACCGTCTATGTCGTGTTCTGTGAAAGCGATCTCCATGACATCGTCAATAGTGAAGTTGAAGAGGAAAGGTAACAGCGGGCTGGAGATATTGAAGAGAGGCGACTACTCGCCCAAGTTCCGCGCGTAATAAGCTCGGATAATATTTACATATTTCTCGAACACACCTTTCTTGAGTAGACAGTGTCAAAGGGCACATCGATCAACCGAATCGAAGGCATCTATGATGTAGAGGAACATGACAACGGTGAACCGCCAATATATGTGACATTGCTACAACAATTGATGCAAAGTGAATTTAAGTGGTGTAAGATCTTAAGTAAAACGTAAAAGATTAGGCACATTGTAGGAGTGTGTCTTGGGGTGAAAGGTGTTACATGTTGGAATTCTTATGTGGGAGAACATTTCAAACTAGATAGGTGATGTGAGTCCTTGTATGGGCGCCGCTGACAGTGGCATCCCCCCAGGGCTCGGTACTAGGTCAACTATGTTTCTTACGCTTATAAACGACCTAGTTCCTCTTCTTGAAGACCCTGCTATATATTTACAGATGATTTAAAGTTGGTCAGCAGGGGCAACCGAGCGACAACATGGTAAACTGGTTGAAGTAATGGAACTTGTCCCTGGATCCCAAAAAATGTCAACCACTAGTAGCGACGGGATTGCAGTGCAGAGTTACTCGGAGTCATCCTTGTTGCAGAACACTAATCAGGCACGCGGTTTAGGCGCCATCAAAGTAAACAGTTTTAAGCCCTTGGTGCAGGATTGCCATACTGCCAATAAAACGCGCCAAGAATCGTTTCGCATCAAGAGGGCACTGAGTAGCATCAAGCCAGAAGTTTTCCTTCCACTGTACAAAGCAGTGATTAGGCCAAACCTGAAGTACCGTGTTCAGGCTTGGTAGCCGAATCTCCGTGACGATGTTATTTACATGGAAAATATCCAAGAACTGGCAACCAGGATAATTGAAAGTCAACATGGGAAGTTGTGCGAAGATCGTGTAAAGAACTTGGAGTTGTTTATCCTGGAGCGGTGTAGACTCAGAAAGGATCTGATAGGTACGTTCAAGATGATGAAGGGCCTCAGTGACAAAGCCTACTGATTTGTTTAAGCTGGCTGCTTTCGATCATTTGCGCGGACATCATTTGAAGCCAACACAGCAGAGGACCAGAGAAGGTTTTTCACGAACCATGTGGTACGCAGCTGGAATAAGCTACCTTTCGAGTTAATGGACTGCGAGACTGTAATAACCTTCGAAAGAGGCCTATAAGTGTTTGTCATATCTCTTCCATAACTAATGTAATTTTATTGAAATTTAACAGCAAAAGCTCGTGCATTGATATTTGATGATGACCCATGACAATGCGAAGACTGTTCTTGTCCTCGATTCATATCCTTTTGCAGAAACAACGAGAGGCGATCAAACGTCGAAGTAGCAGGGGCTCTGGTTCGCTTTCCGGCACAAGAAGCAGGACGTGCGTTATGGGCAAGCTTGTATCTTGACATGACCTGATCCTACCTAAATGTAGTTGAAAAAGGTAGTAAAATGACGAAGGAAAAGCGATCAAGAAAGCAACTTGGACTTGGAGCTGTGTACATTGTGAGAGCAAAAAGCGTTCAAAATAACTGAACCCTATCGGGCAAAGAACGGACCATGATAAAAAGGACAACAGCTAAGTAAACGTTTTAGGTTAACGTAAAAGTTACCTTATCACCAGAAGAAACATCGCAGATTTGTTCACCGGTGGATGGGTTAATGGTCTGAAAGCATTTTCCGCTAACGGAGTTCCGCCATTCGTTATTAATAAATATCTAAAATGATTAGGTAAACATCGGTACATACAGAGGTATAGTGAATATCAGGCTTCGTTATGGGTTGAATTGTCAACGACGAGTATTTCAAGCGCAAACATTTAACAAAGGGCTCCTCCCATGATGAGCGAAGGATACGAAACATGACGAACACCGGTTGCAGGATATGTTCGGCCAAGGATCCCGAGGTCTTCCGTGTCCAACAAGTACGTGGGTCGCAATAGACCACAGGGGCTAAAATGCAAAACAGATACGTTTTTGGCGGATGGATAGTTTCATTGTAACCCCCTAGCAAGAGATGCAGTTGGATGGAAGATGCGCATGACTAACACCTTATCATAGCCGCCCATAGAGAACCGAACCTGAGCTGATTGTGTGGCGCGATAGATAGCCGCTTTAACAATACTGAAAATGAAATAAGAAAGCAAAGAGACGAGGAAATAACAACAGTCTTCTACGCGAGCCTCGACGACCTTTTACCTGTTGGCTTCCTACAACGATAAGTTCGGACGTGATACACTGATAGCAAGAAAAAGTGCAAACAAGTAGGGAGTAATATGAATTCGATCGAGGATTCCGACGGATTCCTTGTTCAAGTCGCATGAAAAGGATGCAATACCAAAAAAATACCTCGTAGGTGATGGGATAAAAAGTTAGCACAGCCATCTGGTAATAGGCCACATTAGATGTAAGGTATGTAGCAGGATCACATTCTCTTCCACCTGAGTCAGATCGACTGTAACTTTTCCCTTGTTTTCCAGACGCATACGGTGAGGTCTCCAGTGTTAACAAAGCAAAGGACGAACCCTTGCGAACTAAAAATTGTTTCTCTACTATCTCTTCTGTTGTTCATTCCCTACTGAGTCTGCGTATTACGGCACTGTACATGAACTAATTGCTTTCGCTGTATGAATACACATTGCTTGTCGCATGATGTGTTCCAGCGTCCTGTGTTCTTGCTCACCGGGTCGCATCATCATCATTATACACGTTAGCAAGAGGTGGGAAACACCTCAGCTATCGTGCCGCAATACATAGAAGAAAAAAGGAGAAAAATATGCAACAGATGCAAGTCAGCTGAGCTACCGGTAACGGATGGGCATTGTTCCGGTAACCTACCAGCTGGCTACTATGCAGCAACAAAATTACTATGCAAAATTATATAAGGGTTGCAGCAATACTACGTGATTACCATGCATTTATATACGACGTACTTTAGACCGTGGATAAATCTCGTATCCTCCGAATTATTACACACTATAAGTGCGCCTGGCAAGGTGGATGCCATTGCCACAGCAGTCGAGAGGATCGAGTTGGATCAATGGATGGTAGAGAGCAGGGGGATACTTTATCACTTTTGTCACTCCCCATCATTGTGAAGACAGCATTGATTACCACGAAACAGGGTTCAGCAAAGGATCGCTGCAGCAGCATTGGAAGTAGCAATATTCCTATATACTTAGGCTGGAATCCAACAGTGGCTTGAAACGTTCCGCTGTTTGTGCATCGAGGACAGACCCAGGTAAGCAGTTCCAGTCCTTCACTACACGAGTGGATAAAGTCAGATTAGATCGCACATTGAGTCTCCTCGGTCACTTCGCGTAAAACTCTCAACCTTAAAAGAACCTTTGTAGCTCAATCCGCAGCATTTCACTAGGAATAGGTCGGGTAAAAATCAAACTTAAGGAGCGGCGGTGATGACGATGGTAGTCTAAGAAGAACAAATTCACACATCAAAACCGGAACAGACAAGAGAAGTCCCACAAGTTATAAACGGATTCAAGTCCACAGAGTTAAACCTTCTCAAGCATAGCACATTTGGACTTGGTAAAAGGATAGGCAGTGAAATGCCCGTTTTCAAAAACCAGGCGAGTATGTGAGGTAAACAGGAGTCTGAAGAACTCGAGGTAAAGCAGAACGTTCTTCGTATACCATAGAATATTATGTAAAAAGGTATCGTACGCATATTTGAAATCATACAATCACTCCAAGGTTTTTCTTTTGAGTGGCATTTCTCAGCAAGAAACCCCAAATATGGAACCATCCAAGTGGTTCAAGAGGACGAACTGGTCTAGAGTATTTATTAAGATTCATAGCCTGCCCGTGGCTTAAAGGACAAGGTGTGTGCCTTACAACCGAGAGGTCGCAGGTCCGAGCCGGCGTAGGGGACCGGGTGACTCTAGCAGTATCCTTAGCCCACGTACGACTAGTGGTGGTTGCGTGGCAGCAAAGCGCCGGTTGTAATCTTTCAGCATCTCCCAGAAGGGGGACTTCCATCCAAAACTACAGCCTGTTGGTCGTTGCTGAAGACATCAGGAGGTTCGGAGCTGAGGATCGAACCTTGTGGTGCCCCAATGGTCATGAGAACAGGAGTGAAAAAGGTTTAATTCAATTTCACCTGCATGGTGCGGTCGTTTAGGAAACCAGAGGTTCAAGGGAGAAAATGCCAGGCAATACCGATTCGTCAACGTGTAAAGAGAAACGGTTTATGCGGGACCCACATCATCATTATACACGTCAGCTAGAGGTGGGAAACACCTCAGCTACTGTGCCGCAATACATAAAGTAAAAGGAAAATAAATACAACAGTTTCATGCCAACTGAGCTACCAGCAACGGATAGGCATCGTTCCGGTAAGCTACCAGCCAGCTACTAGGCAACAAGAAAAATTATTATGTTTCACGCTATGAAATGAGATGGCAGGTGGAGGGAAGGCTAAAAGGGATGGGGAGGGACAAAGAAACTCACAGCACAAACGCCACTGAGGTCGGCTCCTTGCCATGTCAGCAACTGTATCCAGCCAAACGTGTTCATCGTCCTTTGGACCCCAACCAGGGAGCCGAGACGCTACAATCGAGGCCAGCTCCGAAGTGAGGGACTTCATTGCTCTGGACCAAGTCATCGCTTGACCACCCCCTTCTTCTTCCATCCACACCTCCGGTGAGCAAACAACGCACTCGCGGGAGGCGGTGGGCTGGCATGCACAACACGCGACCCAGCCATCGGAGCCTGGTGCGTGAAATGACGGTGCTGAGTGGTTCATTACCTTTTCCTGTGCCGTAAACAAGGCGTCGAACACGCTCGTTACTCACGCGGTGTTCCCACCGGATGTGAGCCAAACTGCGAAGGCACCGATGGTCGAACGTAACTAGCCTCTTTATGTCCACCGATCTTAGGGGCCAGGTTTCGCAACCGTATAGTAAGGTCGAACGTACCGCTGCATTGTACACTCTACCCTTCAGGGCAAGAGTGATGTCGCGCCGCCGCCATAGGTGGCGAAGGATAGCAAAAGCACTTCGAGCTTTTCATATACGGTCCGTGATCTCATCTGCAATCCCAAAGGAGCTGAGACAACTTCCCAGGTAGTTGAATTCCTAAACGACTTCTAGCAGATCCCCACTAAGGGTCAGCGCAGGAGGCGATTCCTGCCAATCTTGGAGGAACGCTTTGCACTTCGATGGTGCAAAGCAAAGCCCGAAGCGACTGACAGCCAGTGCTAATCTGTCCAGCGCGACTTGGCACGTCTGGGAGCTGTCACAGATGAGGGCAATGTCGTCTGCATACTCCAAGTCAAGAAGTCGTTCTCCTGGGAGTAGCTCTACATCTTCTAAGTCATGTCCTGTAAATGCAATCTCCATGACTTCGTCAATAGCGAAGTTGAAGAGGAAAGGTGACAGCGGGCATCCTTGTCTCACACCGCTGGAGATATTGAAGGGTGGCGACAGCTTGCCGTAAGCCCTCACTCTGCTCGTGCTACGCGCGTATAATGCCCGGATAATATTTACATATTTCTCGGGCACACCTTTCCTGAGTAGGCAGTTCCAAAGTGCACATCGATCAACCGAATCGAAGGCACCTTTGATGCGGAACCATATCAAAATCTTTACTGAAATTACCAAACGAAACGTTCAGTCGCTTACCGGAATCTAATGACTTCGCCCATTTCTAGTTACCAATGAGTAAGTTCGAAATAAATGAGCGTGACCCTCAAAGAACACCCTGAGAATAAGAAATTATCAAGAATTCCTCGATAAGAAAATGAAGGTCCCGTCACAGGATCAGTTTCCTATCCATCGACGACAAGTAGCAGGACCTCGTCCATTCCCTCCTTTGTAGAGGGGTTTATGATTTTCACTTTCCAAAAAAAGTCATCAGCGGTACGCCGGCACACTGTACCGACGCTTCGGTGCCACGCGCCACCACCGGTCGCGCATGGGCTGAGTATACCGCGAAGAGGCCCAGCCGTACGCGGATTCGAACCGGTGACCTAAGGAGTGCAGTCCTTTTGGCAACCGGCAGACGTTCACTTTCCAAGTAGTAAGCAGATGTTTAGTTTCAAGAAAGTAACGATAGACAGATGAAGCCATGTATTCTGCCACAGTCCTGAGGAACAAGGGTGCACTACATCTAGGCCGAGTGAACAGTACGGATCTAAATCAAGATGTAGTTTCATCACACATCAGTGGATACAACGCTGTCACAGTACGATGGTCATTGCGCATAAACAGAAGTGTACTGCTGGGCCAATGGACTGGCTTTTTCAACAGCCTCGTGAAGTAAAACCACGTGCCTACAAAATTATAAGACAGGGATGCTAGTGCCAACTCTGGTGCTTCCTTTTTGACACGAGGAAATCATCTTGGGCGTCGTTCTGTTAACCATAGTTCCCATTCGCGACTTTTCTGGCGTTTTATCACGACAAACATGATTGTCTTGAAGCAAGAGGTCTGATTACTGTGAGCCAGAAACGGTCGTACAATTTGCGCCGTTTAGTAGGGATCTCAAAGTGTGATAAATTTAAGGTGACTCTTTAGTGAAATCTTCCTACACCGACCTGTTCAATCAGCGAAGTCATGTTGGAGAGCACAAGATTCCATGAATCGTTAAGACAAATGTGTCCAAGAGTACTCAATCCGTAACGCTTGTAGTCGTTTTCAGACGGAGTGAAAAGGCACAACAAAATTTCCGACGGTAACCACATTGGCTGTGAACGGTGAGGCGGCGTGTCCACTAAGATGAGATAATACAATGATCCCTTCTGCTTGATGGGTGTCCAGGACTGTACCGTTTTACTGTGACTGCTTCGGCTCCCTGAGGAATATCGGGTTGCGACGACAAGCATGCTCGTAGTGTGGAATTGGAAGT